CCCCCCCCAATATGATGCCTTAACTAATAGATTTTGCGGTGATGTATTTATTTATACTATTTTCTGCAGGCTGTTGAATCGTGGTCAGTGGATAAAGCTGTTCTACCCATCGAAAGTTCTATTGCTGGAAGCATCCACCGTAATTATGAATTACTTCTTCGCCACAAGTTACACATTGTTGGTGAGGTGCAGTTGCAAATTAACCACTGCCTCTTAGGAGTGGCTGGTGCGACAAAGGAGGAGATCAATAGTGTACTGAGTCATCATCAGGTTGGCTACTAGATATATATAATTCTTTTCCATCTTTTTTCGCACATGAACATGATTTAAACCTCACATCTGTTGTATAACTTAAATTTTTAAAATGATCTTCTTGCACGCAGGCTCTTGTTCAGTGTAAGACAATGCTTACTGATTTACGTGTTGCCAGAATTAGTGTAGATGATACTGCTATAGCTGCTAAGGTATATATATTACAATTTTTCTATACTCCACTGAAAGCAAGCAATATTGATTATTAGGTTGTAGAGTAGCATGTCCTAATATAATGGTTGGGACATTATGGACAGGAAGTGGCCTTAAATGGGAAAAGGGACATTGGAGCTATTGCAGGTTCAAGGGCAGCAACAATATATGGCCTTGACATTCTAGCTGAAGGAATCCAGGTAAGACTTCAGTTACATGTTTTGGAAGAATCAGCTGCTACAACATTTAGTCTTAGTGTTTGGTTTTCTCTTATCACACAACATCTTTTAATATAAGAAATATGAGGTCATTGGAGTTGGGAGCTTATGCATTGATGAGCATCATGCAAAATATTGTTTTCCTTTCTTAGCAAGGATGGAGGGTGTTATTTATTATTTTCTCAGTTTTCATGCCAATTTTTTAAATTGAGCTATGATTTATCATTTCTTATTTATGGAAAGGAAGGCCTGTACCTTGTTTGTGAAAATCAGTTGTTAGTTTATACTTACAGTTATTGAAATGTCTTATGTGACAGTCGTTATTGAGTTTCTGTTATACGTCTGTCTCTCATTTTAACGTAAAAAGAAAGTGCATTATTGAAGGATGCCTGAGAATCTGACACATGCAAATACGTGCATGGATATCCAAAGAATGATTGAACTTCTTACTGCTCATTCTTTTATTGCTAGCATTTTTAGCTTTTATCGGAAAACAAAAAAAAATTGAAAACATGTCTGTTATTGTTGGTTATCTCGAGATTAAAATAAAGCTGATTTATTTTCTTCTTGTTAGGATGATGTTAATGTTACTCGCTTTTTGATACTTGAAAGGGATCCTTTAATTCCAGGAACTGACGGGTCCTATAAGGTAGAGGAAAAACTTATTTATTTATAAATAATTTATATGAATTTGCTAATGATTGTAATGAATGCATGACTTTTCCCCCAGACTAGCATTGTTTTCAGTCTGGATGAAGGTCCTGGTGTACTATTCAAAGCCCTGGGAGCGTTTTCTCTGAGGGGCATCAATTTGTCAAAGGTGTGCTACAATATAATAATTGGAACTATTGAAATTCGAAATTAAAACCCGTGCTTCATTGCCCTCATTTCTTTGGAGTGATTTCAGATAGAGAGCCTCCCTCAGAAGCAGCGTCCATTGAGGATTGTTGATGATTCACATGATGGGAGTGCCAAGTGAGTAATTAATAGATTTTGTTTCTCTTTTGAGAATTGCAATGATATAAGTATGTAAACTATAGATTGAATGGTCATAGCTAGTCAAAAAATAAATAAAATTGGAGGGCTTAAAGATGGCTCATAATATGTAGAAATCACTTTAATCACTCAAGTTAATTAATAGATTATCAAACACATTGTAACTTTACTCTGAAAAGCATTTTCCAACTTTGTGGTTCAATATAGGAATAAAAAACCTTAGGGACTGAGGTTTGGTTTTCTACACTTTTATTCCATGGTATGCTCTAATGATTCTGTTGGAAGCGTGTTGTGAAACTGTGACTTAGGAATGAACTTTTCTGGTCGCAGGTACTTTGACTACCTTTTCTACATTGATTTTGAAGCTTCTATTGTAAATCCTCGTGCACAATATGCTTTAGAGAATTTGCAGGTCAGTCCCTCATATCATGAAAATACCATATTCATTTCTAATCATTACTCCCAATCTAGAATTTTATTTGTTTATGGTCCCTGCTCACTATGGAACAGTTTATGTGAATACATAAACAGTGCCTTTTCATGTTCTAAACCTGCCTTTTGTTTTTAATTATTTGAGTACTCATTCCACCTCCCACAGATGCTTTCTCTTACTTGCTCAGAGCCTCAGACTAGTTTTGCATTCCAACGATATTGTATTGATGGTCAGATTCCTTAACTGAATGATGATGTATAGAATCCAATGTTGTACTGTTCCATAGATTAGTACAGTTTCTACCTGCTTGACCCAACAGCATGTCCCAAAATTAATGTGGCTAGGAAAGCAACATATTTTTCAATTTGGTTCAATTTTTGTTGTTTTAATTTGTAGTTGCTCACTTGATAGGAATTGAAAAAGCATCTCATTTAGACAAATATAATGCATGCTACATTCTTAAAATTCCTGTGCAACTTCTGTGCATGATATATTCTTAAAAGTTCCAGCACTTTGCTGGCATTAACCCTTTTTAAGAATTTTAATGCAGTAGTTAAATATTAACTCATTAATTGTTTGTTCTTTCCCCCTTCATTTCAGGAATATACAAGATTTATTCGTGTTCTCGGTTGTTATCCCACCGCTACCGCGGATAATTAATATTTGTAGAAGTCAAAATGCCTTAACAAACTGATACACAAGGTTCATCTTGAATCAGATACAAGAGGAGATAATATCCTTTAAAAGCTTTTTTCTCTTTCACCTCATCCAAAACTCTCTACATCTTCTAAGGATTAGATAGGCATATGGGGAGAACGCTGATACAAACATTTCTGTATTTTCTATCATGAATATAGATTAGATAGGTATATATATTTTGGAGTTTGGACCCGTTTATAAATAGTAAATTAACAAAGTATATGTAAACAGTTACTCCATTATGGCAAATAAATAAATGACCATTACCAAACCGCCTCATATTTTCGTCTTCCATGAACGACTCCACCAAGTCACCACAAAAATGACTTTTTAGTTCATTTTTTAAAGTTACAACCGGTCAATAGTCTATAGATCCATATTTTAAATGCCAATATCGATGGATTGGCTTCGTTAGAAAATGATAAGAATTGAGGACCTTCTACTAAAAAATGCCTACTTCTGAAAAGACAATTGTCACCCACCCATGCAGCTAACTCTTTCAACTAATGAAATTTGGAAATCGTGTAATTACAGTCTTGTAGTTTAAAAATTCTTGTCAACATTGGTGGTTCATGGATTGAATTTTAGTTACATATAAAAATTAAATGAAATGGTTCTGGGGTGGTATTTGTTCCCTGTTATGTTATCAATTGCTAGTAGTCAATCGGGAAATCTATCTTGTAGTACCCTATTAAGGAAGGTAGATTGGTGTCTAACTGAAAAATACTCAACCTTTTTGAACTTCAAGAGCTATTAAAGTTGTTACTGTATCAATGCAAACTATTAGAGCAAATTAATGTTTCGTTTTAGTCGATATAACTTTAGCAATTCTGATGCCAAGTAATTTTTGAATATATAAAACCAATATTTTGACGTAGATGTTAGCTATTGTGTACTAACATATAGAGACTTTATTTAGCGAAGAACTTCATATTCAATTACAATTATATGTGAGAACCTTCTAACTAATTATCAATAGTCACAATACTAAAAAAATGAGATTAATTTCTTAGTGGACTAGAAATATTAGGGTTAGGACCAAACAAATTCTTGAATATATTATACCAACTACTACTTATTACAAAATAAATAATACTTCATCTAGTCTTTTTTTATAAGAAACAAGTTGCTGTGTAAAATATATTATCATTTGTTTTACTATAAAAAAGATGGAAGGTACTACTTTTGAGTCGTGCTTATTTTTTCTTTAATTCTTTTCTTCTAAACTAGGATAAGAGTTATCATCGGTAAATTATTATGAATGAATTTTCTATATATCTCATAAATCTAGAAAGTAAAAAAGATATCTTCATTTTTATGCTTCAAAAATCATGATTTTCTTTAAACAAGATAGGAACACAAATATATATAACGGTTGAATGGTATTAATCACAGATTAAGAAAATTTTAGGAATAGTGTAAAATATATTAAAATCTTTTGAAACAGTTGTTTAATATAACCGAACGTAACTCTTTTGCTATTGAAGTTATTTTTCAATAGAAAATCAGTAGAAGTTTAATTTTAAAATGGATGAAGAGAAATGCTGGAGCTTGTTAATCTTTGAGCTTTTGTAGCACTATCATAAACTGATATAAGATTTGCCTTTTGCAAAAAGCTAGCTTACAACGTTGATCCAATTGCTTATTTATAGGCACGGTTTACCATCCATGGGTAATGTCTTTACATCTCTTATAATATTTTTTAATGCATACATCTCTAATAATATTTAATATGTCATATACTAATTTTAAGCTCTTAATTTTTAGTTTTATGATTGTAATACTTCAATTTTATAGGATTCGCAATATTATCTCAAAAGAAGATATATCTGAGAAAAAAATATATCAATAAAATTTAGAAATTTATTTTAACAACAGAACAGTCGCAAACATAAATAAGATTAATTTTTTAGTGATTATATTTTAAAACTAAAAATACAAGTTTATTCTTTATGATTATACGAGTCCTTTTGTAATATTTGGAGAGAAAAAAATCATATTTAATTTTGACTCCTTAATTTTCGGTTCAGAGCTTAGTCAAACTTAAAAGAACCCTGTCCCCCTCCAATGATGTATTATGTGATTATCAAACCAAGATCTTTCCTCACAAACTAGTTATGTGTTGCCGACTATTGAGTATATAAAATATTATTACAATATATAGTCGTTGTGAATTCAATTAAATAAATGTTCAACCGAAAAAATAAAATGAATGGTATTAAGATGGCAAGCTCATATTTGACGTAGATTGAATTAATTTTATTGGACCAGTAAGTCCAGGGTCATACTTAGCTGGAATCTATTTAGGATCTGCAGTAAAACTTCAGAATTATTCTCCAACTTCTGCTCTAAATATATTGAAATACTATTGTATGTTACTCTTAACTGTCTTAAATCTCAACCAAACAGGAAACACTTCATAAGTATAAACAGCAAATGGAAGTTTTAACTAGGTCTTCAGTAAATTACAAAGCCACAACAGAGAAACCATACTGAAGAGTACTACACAGATAAACACACAAGTTGATCACTTATTCATACAATAGCACTAGTACTTCATATTTTGTGAAAAGACAGCACTCTTCACTCAAGTTCCTTCAGAAAATCTTGATTGTCGACCAAGACCTACAAAATTCATACAAAATGAATCATACCACATACTTACCATTGATAAACGCAAAAATTTCGCTACCGAAAAAAAGGCAAAAATTTAACACAAGCAAGACAAGAAATATCCACACGCTCAAAGCAATGCACTATTGCACTTCAATTCCGTGCCAACAGATTGAGAAGAAATAACATCATTGACGAAGAGAAGGGAAATATTATTTTTTTAAGAAAAATAAATGCATAGGTACTAACTATTAATTAAAAGTAAGACGATGTTATTAATATTTGTCTCCCTCAACTGTGCTTTCATATGCTAAAGTACAATTTCCATCATAGATACTAAATATTAGACATGAATGGCAAAAGGGTTGATAACTAGATACGTAAAAGTTGGGACACGAGATCTTTTTATTAGCAAGTCAAATAATATTTAGCAAACCATGATAGACTCTCCAAATACAGCATATGATCAATTGATCAGTTTAAGTCGCTGGTCAGAAGGAATTCCATGAAAATAAGTCACTCAAGTGGTAAGATGACATTCTTTTTTTTATTTTCTGGTTAAACATCGTTCTCTATACATGAGAAACTTTCTGCTCAACATTTCAAATTCATGATCAATTTAAAACCAGCTCTTTATAAACAATTGTTTAGCTCATTATTTGCCTCAACTACATAAAAGGTTTTGTTGTTAAAAGAAAAAGTTTTGCAAGTTCAATCAAAGCAACCTCCTACAGCTTTTGCATACTCTATTTCAAAGTTTATGACACTGGAATCTAGATCAGTATACGGCTATACTATCATCAAATTACAGCAGTAATTGTTGCCCGAGGGTAAGCACATATGCATGCATTCTACGTAATAATCAACCTTTAAGAATTAACCTATTATTTCACCTCAACATAAAAATTTAAACAAAAGAAAATACTTACAGTTTTCCATCCATCAGGATCTAAGAAAGCAGTGATCTTTGTGTTAAGGCCAGGAATTGGCCCTGGTTGCCGAGTAATCTTCCCTCCAAGCTCTTGTGTGACTAAGTTGACAACCTCAGCACTCTTGTATACATCATCAGTACCAATAGCAACCTGTTACATACAACGCACGAATTGGATCATCAAAGGTTACCTACAGAAAATACTGGTTTAGGCTTCCAGAAGGAAATATAACCTAACAAGTATTAAAATACCTGTGCATAAGCATTTCCCTTGGTGTATTCAGTGACACCATAGTTATATGTCAGCTCCAACACAATTGTCTCATGCTCCTCTGCATACCCAAGCATGGCTAAAGTGTACTGTAAGATATGCAACATAATCCAGGAAAAATCATTAGTAAGTCATAGCTTGGGTATGACATATGTCCTGGCTTAAGTGGATTGCTAAGATCAAGAAGGAAACTCACCTTGTATTCAGGTCTATCAACCTTCCTTACCAACCTCAAACCCAAAGCCTGCACAAATATGATCCAATTAAGAACCAAACATGATCCTTGGTTAATAAAAATTAGTTGAATTAAGAAACAAAACTTAAAAAATAATACATCAAATGCAGTGTTATGAATTTTTATGTCAATCATAAGCAAAAACTCATAATTTCCAACCCCATCCTCAATACCACACATTTTGTGGTGGCCCAAACAAATAGTAAACCACAACAATGCAGTTGCTCTGCTTCTAGCATTGGAAGTTCGAAAACAATCAATAAGTCGATTTCTCAATTATCAACATGACTACATGAGCACTAAATCCTCATCCAACTCTGACCCTCTCCTAAAGAGAGAAAAGAAGAATGGACAAGTAGAGTTCATTCATGAACGTTCTTGCAATAATTAATCTTTTTGGGATAGTTGGTTAGTGACATGATATTAGAGCCTCTATGACCAAATTATCTAATTCTAGAATTGGATCCTTGTTACTCATTTTTCTAAATAAACTTAGAATTTCAGCACATGGTAACTGCGTCTATGTATGGTCCACATTTCAAGCCTAATAGGTTATTGTGCAAGGGGGAATGTTAGATGTTAAAACTAAAAACCATTCATGAGCATTCACTTAATAGCTTAAGCTTTTGGGCAAATTCAAGCCATAACTGAAAGTGTTTTTTATATTAATAAGAAAGATTTACTTATAGTGTGACTGAATGTACGGAACAGTGTAAACGAAAATCCTCTCTAGATATTTCCACTATTCATCCCACATGCCTAGAATTGAGTTGTCAATTTCCCAGTGGAGTAAAATCAAGGTAGGAGATCATTGGATGGACATTATTCTTTTTATTTTGATCTGAGGGAGGTGATACAGAGAAGTTCTATCATCGATAAGCAAATGATACAATAAAAACATGAAAAATTTTAAAAATTTAAGTTGGCAGACATGAGTATTTATGCAATTGTGTTATAAGAAAATGACCTGAAACAATTTTGATGGAAATGGAAGTGGTTTATTTATATTAAAACACGTGCTCATGAAAAGAAAAACTTGACTTGGGCTGTTACCTTTTCATAAAACTTAATTGAGCGCTCTAAATCACCAACACGGAGCATTACTTGGCACAATGGCTCAGGGGTTGAAGCTCTTTGGATGAGCTCAAAAGCATAACCATCAGGATCCTTCACAAAGGCAATAATAGATGTCCCGCCTTTAACTGGAGCAGGCTCCCTAGTGACGTTTCCACCCTTAGCCCGGATGTTTTCAACCAATTTGTAAACCTAAAAGTGTAAGAAGTATACAATTCAATTTCAGTACAAAAGATCAAAAAATAAATGGTCAAGCTGTGGTGAAGATAAGACTCTGGCTTACATCTGGAGTTGAAATAGCAAAATGTCCAAAGCCAGTTCCAATATCATATGAGCTCACCCCATAATCTGACCAAAAACATCATATGTGGAGAAAAATCATGTCCAATTCAATCCAACACATAACGGATGGTAGTCAAAAGGTACATACAATCAGAGAATCACAAGAGAAGCTACATATACACAAGAACCACAGCAGTCATGAATACAAAAGGTTGACAGAGCAACATACTGTAAGTTAATTCCACAACAAAATGGGATTGTTCAGGGCCAAATCCAAGAAAAGCATTGGAATATTTCTCTTCTGGAATATCTCTTTTCCTCAAAAGCTTCATCCCGAAACATTCAGTATAAAACCTGATAGAACAGTTAAGAAACTATGAGCATCCAAACACACCAAAGTGCATTTCAACAACCCAAATCAAGAATATCCTACTTGATGGTGCGATCAAGATCACCAACACGGTACACAGCATGCAGGAAGCGGCGCTTATCTTTCTTCGGCCACTCAAACAACTCAGCATTAGATTGTGTACCCTCAGCCATATTCAATGTGGATGCAAGTGCTCTGCAACACCAATCAAAAGCTGTATTTAACATATCGTTAAATTCAAATAACACCAAGTAGTGGCCGGAAAAAAGAAAAAAAAAATAAAAAATTAAGGCCGATCTTTTTTTTTTTTTTTTTTTTTTTTAAATCAACTCGTTAACATAAACTACATCCATAGTTAACAAAGTAACAAACAAACAGAGCCTTGAGCCTTTACAGGTTTGGAATGAAAAAAGAGAAGAGGTTATAAACTCATAAATTATAACCCATGCCAATTGCAAAATGGATTTAAAATTATACAGAAACATACATAACACACATTTGATTTCATAATTTATGTAAAAGGCGAATTGAGTATATGAAATCAGATTACAGTAAGTGTTAGAAGCAAACGAAATATAAATAAATAAAATGGGTTGTTTAACGATTTAACGAGATGCAAAATCTGACGGTAGATAATGATAAAATGTGTATGAAATTGAAGAGATGAAGCAATGAAAGAGAGAGAAAACTGACTTGGAGCGAAAGAGAGAGGAGAGGGAACCGGTGAGAATAGTGAGGAGTGCAAGAGACAGTACGACAAAGGGGAACAATCTCCAATGCGGAGGACGTGTTCGTTTATAAGATGACATTAATTTAATCATCTGAGTGAGCCACGGAGTCACTCATAAATCATAATCTTACACTCGGTCACTTCGATTGCCTACGTGGCCACCGGTTATTAGTTAATGTATAGAGACGGAGTTCCGGCTATTGTGAAGCATTCATTCATCATCACGGATTCACCGTTCACAACCTACCGTTGCCACATTTTTCTCATCAATTAAATTACCTCAACAATCATGGTTCATTGGTAAGAAATGTCTTATCGATATCCTCCTATAGTCTAATCACAAATAACTCTTCTTATATAATGCATATAAATGCTTAAGACTTCCTATGTTATTAATGTATATATGAATTTTTAGGATCATTTCAAAAATTAAATTTGATTTATTTCATTTCTTTTTTTCATCGTCAAATTACTCATCACTTTTTCTCTTATTTCTTTGGTATCTATCTCTATGTGAAATTTAAATCTCTCTAAAATATCTGTCACTAAATTTAACTAGTATTTAACAACTGAATTCAATTCCATCGCTAATTTTAACTAATATTTAGCGACCGAATTCAATTCCATCGCTAATTTTAACTAATATTTAGCAACCGAATTTAATTTCGTCACTAAAAAAAATCAAAATTTCTTATTTAGCGATCGAATTTAATTCTTACAATTGTGGCTAAATGCCATTTTGGAGAAAAAACTTTTGCTTACTTCTTCTCTTCTTTCCCCTGTGTGCCAACTCGAACGAGCTCATTTGACCAACCTTACACCTTAAAAGCGCCCAGTCAAAATTTCGCTAAATATATTCAAGCACTTCTTAGTTTTAGTGAGTTCACCGAAGACTTGGCTCCTTTTATTCGTCCCAATTTAACAGGTCCCTCTTGGCTTCGAGGTAACAACCAGGTTGAAAATTAAATATTTCCACGGATTTTGTTGATATGTGGTTTGGCTTTTTGTCGTGGGATGTTATTTTGTCTGGAATGCGACAAAAAGATGTTAGAATCTATCCCTACCAACCTCAACTGTTTGCTCAAAAATTTGGTCTCTGACAAATGAAGTCTCTTCCACTTCGTCGCAAAGAAAAAATAGATGCTGATATTTGTGTCGAGATAGGAGATTATAAAGATATTTTGGACTTTATCTTACGTCCTGACAAGCAATTTCCCTTACTCCTTGCACCTTCTCTACTTCCTTTCTAGTCTCGAAGTGATTTCTTCGTTGGTGGTGTGAATATTATGTTGACAAAATATTCGCCTTTGATGATTTTCTAAAGAAGCTGATTAATTCTCCTCTTTCTTCGCAGGGCCCGAAACTACCAGGTACTTACAAGAATCGTAATATGATTTATCAATTCGAGCAATTTTTTAAAGTTTTTCATCGACCCAACAACCTTGGTCAAACAATTTTTGATGCCTTTGTCTCTTTATCGAAAATGGTACAAAGGAACATCCGCTCAAAAAGAATTATCACTACTACAAGAAGCATATTTTACATCGGTTCTTTAAAGTCATTTACATCGATTCTAAAACCGATGTAGCATCCTTGAATGTTTGGCCCTGAATGTTAAAACTATAAGAAAATAAAGCTTGTAATTTGATGGCGCATTTTATTTTGATTGACAATATTTGTCCATTATATATACACAAAAAATTTGAACCCGGCTCACTAACAACCCGGTTCACCCCGGTTGAACCCGTGGTGAGCCGGGCTGGCCCACCAACCCGTGATTAATTTTTCTTTTTGAAAAAATACAATAATTATTGGGCTATGGTGCAGTCCAACATGAGATAATAATGATTTAATGTTGGATTGTGATTTGCAATTTTTATGAGTTTGGATTGTATTTGAAGTTTAAGATGATTTTGGATTATCTTTATTTATTTGAGATTATTTAGATTTGATTTGATTGTATTTAAAATTATCATTTAATGTTTGGAATGAATGATTCATTTATGGATGTCTTAATTAAGAATCTCAGATTTTTAAAATAAGTTTAAATTTTTGGGCTTTAGTTGTATATTAAGAAAAAAAATTATTTTTTTTAAAGGTGAGCCAACCCGTTTAACTCACCAACCCGTGGTGGACCGGGTCGAGTTCAATTTTTTTGAGTTCACTGATAAATGAGCCGGGTTGGGTTGACCCACCAACCACGAAAATTCTACAAAATCCCACAGAATCCATTAAAATTTTGATTTAAAAGTCTTGCAGAATCAATTAAAATCCTGATTTTAAGTCTTGTAGAATCCTGCAAAATCTTAAAAGTCATGAAAATCCTGCAAAGTCTTTTAAAATTCGCAGGATTTTTTTTAACTAAAAAAGTCCTTTAAAATCCTAATCCAATACACCTCCCTTAAATTATTTTATTTGGTGATGATGGATTGGTAATTATAAAATTTAATAATGTCTTAAAGAAACGTGTGTAACAAAATTTATAGATATCCTTTTCTTTCTATATTTTCTCCTTACATTAATACATTACTAGGAAACTTATTTTATTCCTCCAATTATTCAATATATTTCCTTTAGATTTTGGGTTTGTGCTAACAAATTTTCGTACATTTTTTTTCGATTTTCTTTTGCTCATTTTTATCACTAGGTTTATATGATCTCCCCAATGTATTATTCTTTTCGACAAAAGTAAATTTGAAGCTTTTTTATTTTATTTTATTTTATTTTTTTAAAATCTCATATTAATCTTACCTTAATAATATTATGAGTTGATTAAAAAATATATTGTGCATTGCATGGGCAACAAACCTGATAAGTTTATAAAGTTGCAATATTATCTTATTTTACTTAATTTTGTCTTACTTATATCAAAGCGAACAACTTCGTCATATATTCTATATGCAATAATTTTTCTTTTCTTTTTTATATTATTTGCATGCAATAACTTTTCTTTATAATAATCTTTCTCCATGAGATTTTTCACAAAAAAAAAATAATTGTAGAAAATTGAAATTGTAATGACATAATAAATCATTAATTATATTACTATTAGTTATACTAATTATTAATTATTTGTTATAAACAATTTTAAAATGAATATAAATAATAAAATTATGCTAAAATTTCTTTCACAAAATCCTCGGAAAAAATATTTCATGTATAGAAAATTGCAACATCAATCTACGTTAAAAAAAATTATGATGTAAAATAAATAAGAAAAAGTATGTCAAAATTTTATTTCACAACATTCAGGAAAAGAATATATCGCATATAAGAAATTATAATAGAAATTGACTTAAAAAAATTTAATTATGGAAAATTGAAATTATAAACCTATAAATAATGTAAAAAAATATAATAAAACATTAGTTTTATTATTTATTGATAGTTTAATGATATAAATATAAATAATAAAAATGAATAACTTTTATTTGTTTCTATATATAAGACTCGATTACTTATTTTTATATATTTTTTTAAAAAAATTACTTACATATTACTCTTATTTCTTAATTAATATTCATATATGTTTTAACCAATTAAAGTATATGTCATCCATTAATTTTCTCTCTTGAATGATACTCACCTTTCTCTTAACAATTTAGAGTGTATATTTTTTTAAAAAGTTTATAATTAATATGTTTTACCAAATTAAGATAACATATTTTAATTAAGAAGGATATTTTAATTTAAAAATAATTAATATACGAGATAATATGCATTAAGTTTTATATAAATGAACAATAAAGTGTTATAAGTTGAGTCTTAGAACATCTCCAATATGGAGTACTTGTGGTGTATCTTACTAACAAGGAATGATCCTTATTAATTGCAACATTATACTTGTTAAGCCACGTTTCTTATTGACTTGATTTATATTGAAGGACTTGAGGTGTGATGAAAAGGTGCTGAAATATTTTTATTTCTCCTCTTAGGTTCCAATTAGTCATAGAGTCACAATTCTAGAGGTTGAATATTTTTTTAATTTTTGGAGCTTAATTTCTTTTTTCCACCTTGGAGATTCTATTTCCTTCTTTTCTTAGATTTTTGGGGGCTTTAGAGATAGGATTTTGTAGCTAGTGGTGATTCAGAGCAATTTGGAGTTGAGAATTATATGGTGTAGGTGTAAAGCTCGTGTTGTTGGAGCTTGGAACCTGTTTCTTCTTTTTTTCTTTTCCTTCTCGGTTTGGCTCGAAGTTAAGGTAAGAAAAGTTGAAATGTTGAGCTGTTGAATGAATTGTGAACTTAATGTTTATAGAATCTCTGAAATTTGTAGTTGTGGGGATTGATTTAAAACAGATTGCATGTTGAATGTGGGGTTTTGGTATTTTTGATGAAAATTTAAGAAGTTGATGACTTCCTTAAGTTGTTGTTGAGATATGTTTTTTTTTTCCTTTGATTTCTATGTTGCATGTTGTTATAATTGGAAGATTTCAAGGTTGCATGCATGGATTATTGTATAAGTAGAGAGGATTTTGAAATTTTAGCGGTGTTCATAGTTGTTAATATGTTTTTCATTGATGTAGAAGTTTCTTGATTTTGGAGACTAAGTATGAGTTTTTACACTGAGTGTGAGAATTAGAAAATGTCTCTAAAAGATCAAGGTTAAGCATGATTTTTTACACTTAGCTTGAGAATTAGATGTGTCTCTAGATAATTAACATTGAGCATGACATTTCAAAATAAATTATCAATAAATAAAAATAATTTTGTAATATGATCTAAATTATTTATTATGAATCTAATATATATATATATATATATATATAATTTATATATTTAATAATATCTATTCATAAATTTTTTAAATATAATTTATATATTAGTAAAAAAAAATATAATTTATATATACAATTTATTATAAAATTTAATTATATAATAAACATGTTTGTATATTTCATAGATTAAAATATCAGTTTTATTAAATACTTTCCCTTAATCATTAAATTTTATTAGTCACTTGACAAAATTAAATAAAAATGCATATGGTTCCTAATCTGATCAGTTTAATCTGATCCAAAATAAAAATTGACAGAATTTATTAGACTAAATTTTAAAGATCTACATTTGATTTTAACTTGGAATTTAAAGTTCAAATCCTATAATTGTTTTGTTGAT